ATGTCTCAGACTGGAAGAGCTGGGGCAGGTGCAGCTCCCACTGGAAGCCCAGGCACTCGAGAGTCACGACTGCGGGGAGAGCAAGGAGCAGCGCTCAGCCCGCGCCCCTCCGCCCACGGCACCCCGAGCAGCGGGCGGCTCAGAGGGAGGAAGCCGCTCGAGGACAGGCCGCCGGGGCCTCGGGGCGCTCCCTGGCTCCCAGGGACACGCCGGCCGGGCCTGTCTGGTCCCCTCGGACACGGGCAGGTGTGACTCGGGGCAGGACCGGTCAGAGCGAGAGGGTGCCCTGGGGCCGGCTCCTGTGCAGCCTCCACTCCCGAGGGGATCTTCCCCACTCATTCATTTTAGAGAGCGGAAGGGACGGGGAGAGGCAGAGAGAGAGACAGCGATGTGAGGGAGACACACGATGGGCTGCCTCCCACACGCACCCCGACCAGGGCTGGGGCGCCTGCAACCGAGGCACGAGCCCTTGGCCAGAATTGAACCCGGGACCTTCCTGTCCGCAGGCCGGCACCCTATCCACTGAGCCACACCGGCCAGGGCTGTGTGTCGTCTTTATCGTGGCCGTTGGCACCTGAACACGCGTCTGCCCAGCTCGGTTTCGTTCCTCGCACATTTGACGAATGTTTATGGTGCCGGTTACGCCTCAGGCTGGGCAGGGGGCAGGGACGGAGGCGCACAGGCCGGGGGCGTGGCCTCTGCTCGGTCCCTTTGGCCACGGGTCCCTGAGGCAGCCACCTGCCCACGGGTCCTCGACGGGTCCCCGGGGCCAGGAACTCACCTCCATCCCCGCTCGGCACAGCCTTCTTCAGAGTCCCATGGCATTTTGTCTGAATCTTTGGGGTGTACAGCCTCGAGGGAAAACACACAAAAGCCCAGGCGTTAGCAGGATGCCACACCTGCCCTTGGGCCGCCCCCGCAGCGCCCCTGTCTGCTGACCCGACCGCCTGCGCTCCGTCCGGTGTTCCATCCAACGTAACTAGTAATTAATTCCCCTGTGCTGTGTGCTGGGGGGCGGGGGGGGGACTCCCCCAGGAGGCGTTCGAAGCTACGTGTGACTGCCTGGAGGGCCCCTCTGTCGCTGAGACCAAAACAACGCCCGGCATACAGTAGGTGCTCAGTACACGTCTAAGGGAGAGAAGGCTCAGGCACTTCCTGGAAGTTAAGGCTGCTGTTCG